CCCCTCAGGCTGCTGCCCTAATTCCCAGCCAGCCGCAGCTGCCTTCGCAAGCCCAAGCCCCCCTCACTGAGGCAATCTCCCTGCAGATTTGGCAGTGGGCAGAGGAGGGGCTAAGGGAGAGGAGGGACTAGAGGATTCCGCACTAATCTGCTGTAGATGACCCATCAGGCTGTCTCTGCCCTCAGCTCACGCCGCCTGCTGGGCCCAGCACTCTCCCTCCATCCTCCATCTCCTTGAGAAAGTAACAACCCCCCCACCCCCACCCGCTCAACACACACAATTCACGTCCGCTGCTGCCACCACCACCACCCCTCCAAGAAAAGAAAAATCAGAGAGCAGGAGCAGACAGACCAAGTAAGCCAACACGCAGGCTCTGCGCCATCCCAAGCCTGGCCTCCCAGCCCCGCGAGAGCATCTTTCATGGACCCAGGGACCCGAGAAGGGGCCGCCTCAGCTTAGGATGGGCAACTGTGTCAAGTCTCCCCTGAGAGATCTCTCAAGGAAGGTACGTCTCTAAATTCGCAAGCCCTGGGATGGTGGGGTCAGGGGATCTTGCCTCTGAGGAGGGGTGGACACCTGATGCTTGCCATCCTTCCCCGGGGCCTGCCCAGAGCGGCGGCGGCCCTGCTTCTGCCTCTAGGCACCCTTCTGTGACCGTTTCTCGGGTCCTGAAGCTAGGATCCAGGCTGTGCTGAGGAATCCGCATGGGCACAGGCCAGAGAGCGCGTCCCTCTGGACTCGGGACCATTCAGATGGAGGGAATGTGGGCGTGCGGGTACCAGGGTGGACCTTGGAGCGGACAGGGTCAGTAGAAGGGGGATTTGTGCTCTTGTTTGGTTTCAGCCATCTCATAGGAGGGTCGAGGGTCTGTAACCCTCTGGGGTGATCTTACCGGCAGCTGTGGGGTTGCAGGTGGAGTCGCTGGGAGGGATTAAGCAGCCCCCCACCCCTTCTACGCTGAAGCATCAGAGGGTCAGGCCAAAGGACCTCCACTCAGGCAAAATGGGTTCTGGGCCCCAGGTTGTTTCCATTAGAAAACTGGAGCCAAGAGATGAGGGGGCTGGGAGGTGCAGCCGTTGACTTCTGTGGTGAACATATTGCTGGACCACTAGGCTCACGGTCTTTTGCAAGATTCCCCTTTGGACGGCAAATAGTCCCCCTCCAGGGCGGTCTGTGTGCGCACCTGGGCTTGATCTCCAGGGCTTTCCCACAGTGGCTTCCGCCTCCTGTAGCTTTAGGGTCTCAAGAAGGCAGTCACCTCGGGGGCAGTGGCTTTGGTTTGGGGTTGATCAGGACACAGAAAAGACTCAGGGGCCATATAGGGAGGGAGGAGGGAGACTAGTGATGCTTCCCTCCCGCTCCTCCCTCTTCTAGACAAGGAATGGGGCTGCTGGACAAAGAGCCTCAGTGACACCCAGGACCCTCTGGGCAGCTTTCTGGGCTCTTGTCCCCAGCACCATCCTCCCTCCTCAGCCAGGCTGTCAGCCACTGCATCTAGGGCATCCCAGGCTTGTCTGCATGCCGTCTTCTTCCTATAAGTAAGCTGTCACATCAGCCTCGCCTAATCTTGGCTGCTCCTCGGCTCCTTCTGGGCCCCATGCCCATCATCTGCCATCTTCCTGGGGGAGCCTTCAGCCACTGGCACCGAGAAGCAGCCCCTGATCAGAATTCATCTAGGAGACTGCAGAGAGCTCTGGGGGTGGGGTGGGGTGGGGATGTCTGTCCAGAGTTTGAAGAAGTAAGGGTCGTCCTTCATCGACCTGTCCTTACACCGAGAGGCCTCAGAGTTAGGCTGCCAAGGTCTCCCCTAGCCACACGCCACCTTGGAAAGGTAGGTGTTCCCTCTGTGCCTTGTTCCCTCGCCCTCCCATGGGGACCGTCCTAAGGCGACTGAGCACTCAGGATGTGTCTTTGTCACCAACACCAAGCTGGCAATCGTTTCACTCTGGGTTCTTGAGAAGGAGCCAGAGGAGAAAAGGAAACTAGAAGAGGCTTTGTAAGGAGTAAGGTGAAAAGGTGGTGTCCTGGTTACACGGTGGGTTGCTAATTGCAAGGCCAGCCGTTCGAAACCACCAGCCACCCCGTGGGAGAAAGACGAGGCTCTCTACTCAGGTGCAGCGTCACAGACTAGGGGACCCCACAGGACAGTTCTACCTTGTCCTGTGCGTCGGCATCAGCTCGGGCAGTGAGTGTGGTTTTATGGAAGCTGAAAGGGCTAACGCCTCCTGCACTCCAGCCCAGGCTTTCACACCAACAACCAAGGTTGTCTTTTGCTGAGTCGCTGGACCTGTCTACCAGCCTGACCTGACCACCAGCTACTCCCCTTGGCTGTTGGCTGTGTGATGCAGAAAAGAGCTGGGCTCATTGCTGAGAGCCTTCCTGGGCCCCAGAGCTGGGCCTGGATCCGGGTCTGCGTGATGAGAGCCAGGCTGGCTAGGTGGGTTTAACTTTTCCCTCGGTGAGAGGCTGCCTCACACTTCCCTCGCTGTCTGAAATGGCATTCACCTGAGAGGTCAAGGCACCGATTCTCCCACCCCCGCCCCCATTCTGAGCTGCCCCTTTGGGCTCTTCTGGAAGGGCTGCAGAGAGAGGGTGCTTGACACCACATTCTCTTGGCTAGCTCCTGTTGCTAGAAAGCTGCCCGTCACAAGGCACACTGGCCCCTCCTGTTGCCCTGCCAGTCATGAACCGTCTCCGCGACGCCAGGAGACACTGTTAGCCTGTGGGCCGATGCTGACCCAGAGCAGGCTGTCTGGTGCCATCGCTGGCCAAGGGGAGACAGCAGCCTCCCAGGGCCACTTGGTGCCAGGCAGTGTTCTGATCCAGAGATGCAGGACGAGTCTGCCAGCTGCCACAGGTCCACTCTTCACGGGAGCAAATGCGTCTCCATCTTTGTCACTTCTTTCCTGATGGACAAGGGTCCACGCCCCACCCCCCACTTCTGCTGGAGCCAGAAGTCACGCCTCCCAGGCCCCTCGGGCACCTCCTAAGTAGTCATCGTCATCAGTGTGGCGGTCGCTGTCACTGCCGTCACCATAGCAACACCATCCCCGCGCTTCTTACCACACTCTAGGCACTATGCAGAGCTGTGAGATAGTCCTTCCGAGACTCCTGTGGGATGACTGGCAGGAAACTGGAGCCCAGAGAGGCAAAGCAACTTGCCCAAGGTCACACAGCCTGTAAGCGGCAGACCCAGCGTTTGCTGTCAAGACAGTTTGAGTCCGAAGCCAGGACACTAAGCTGGCTCCCGCTGTTCGGTGCCTCCTCCCTCCCGAGACTCAGCCAGAAACCCAAAGGGCTAAGTCCCGACAAACCTGTCTGTGCCGGCTTCTGGGGGTTAGACCACTGTGGACGGCCAGCTTCCTATGTCCCTCTCCCCGGCTTGGTCTCCTTGCTCTAGCTGCAGCCTGTGGCACAGAGGCGTGTGGGTGCAGAGAAAGTTGTGCATCTTAGCTCTCTTGGGCAGCCAACCAGAAGGGGCTCTTGGTCTGTCTGGCACCCCTGTGGTGGCATTCCCCAGCACTGAGCTGCCACACTCAGCCTGCACGAACCTTGGGCTGAGGTTCTCCACCTCGGGGCTCAGTTACTTCTTCCAGGAACTGGGACCCTGAACCTCCCTCCCCAGGCCTGCAAGAGGCTCAGCCATCTGGGATCAAGTGTGGGAGCTGTTTGTGTCTGTAGCCCCACAGCTCGGGGAGGCTGGGAGAGAAGCAGTCAGCGGGTGGGCTGTCCTGCTTCTCCGTCAGGATGGGCTGCCCTAGCGCCTAGGACTTTTTAGAACTTGGAGGAGCTGGCTGGAAGTGGGTGAGGCAGATGGAAGGGGAGGGTGTGAGGTTCTGGGGTTCTCAGACAAAGACAGCCCTCGCCATTTCCACTGTCCTATCCCCCTCCCGAGGCACCGGGCATCCTGTGGAGACCTTGTGGAATAGAATATGCTATGTCTGGACGCTGCTGGCGTACCGGGGGCAGGGCGGACTTTTTATAGCTGCATGGGAACCATCAGGGAGAAGGGGAAGCTGGCCGGGAATGGAAGCACCGCTATATTTGTTCAGGGGGCAGGGGAGGGGGCGAGCAGCCCCAGCCCCCAGAGGTCCAGCCTGCTGTGCTGGGCGGGTTGCCAGGGAGGGCGGGCAGGAGAAGAAGCTGGAATTGTGGCAGAGTAGCCAGCTGGTAGAATGGGACCCACAGCTGAGTGTGGTTCGGTTCCCCTGGACCTTCACCCAGAGGCCTGGCAGCCCTGGGCCCCGGGTCAGTAGCACTGCCCCTTCTTGGAGGCTCACACTGGCCGCTGGGCCCAGGGCCCACTTCTCACATCCGGTCTACGTCACGTCAGCCAGCTGGGCTCACAGCACCTACCTAGCTCTCACCTCCAGCTGAGTCTCTGCTCCTGGGCAGAGCTGATTCCCCACCCAGTTTCCAGTAGGACCCAGCTGAGGCAGGGTCAGAAGGTCGTCCGTGAGCTCAGAGCAAAGGCATTGGCCCTGGGAACTGTGGCAGCATCTTGGAGGGAAGGATGTTATTCCATTAGTCTCAAGTGAGCACTTCCGATTGGTTAGAACAGAAGCTTTCCAATTCCTATTGGCTAAGTCCAAAATTTTCCATTTCCTATCGGCTAAAACAGAAGCTTTCCACTTCCTATTGGCCAGGGCAGAAGCTTTCCGCTTCCTATTGGCTAGGGCAGAAACTTTCGACTTCCTATTGGCTAGGGCAAAAGCTCTCCTCTGCTTCTCTGAGTTTGTGCATGTGCATGAATGTGTGATTTGTGTGCACGTGGGCGTGAGTGTGTGGCATGTGTGTGTCACACTGTGGGCACCGCACCCAGCACCCCCAGGATCACCGGTCACATTCAAGGATCGGAGACTCCACCTGGTGGACCAAACTGAGGCCTGTGGTCACACACACCCTCTGAAGGGGTGCGTCACCCCACCATCTCTCTTTCTCAAGGCTCCTCCTTCGAGAGTCCTCCCAGGACCCGGAACCAGGCTGGAGCCAAGCAGGCCCACCTGGGTGGGGAGGTGACAGCTCCCTCTCTTTTGTGTTTGCTTGGTGCTGGCGGAAGATGCGTCAGGAGGAGAGGACCAGCTACACAGTGGTGCAAACGAGCGAGGAGGGACTGGCCGCTGACGGCGAGCCCCCGGGGCCACTCCTGATGCTGGCCCAGAACTGTGCCGTCATGCAGAACCTGCTGGGCCCTGCCTGCATTTTCCTGCGCAAGGGCTTCGCCGAGACTAGGCAGCCTGTACGTACGTAAGTCGGCCCTCAGAAGCCAGACTCAAGCCCGGCTTTGCAGGGCACGCGAGAGTGCAGGGAAGAAGAGGGGTTAACGTATCCAGCAGCCTCTGTCCCCCAAGAGATAGACCTCAAACCTCCAACTTGTGAATCTGGCCCCCAGAGCCTCTCACCCATGGCTCCCAGATGCTGGTAAGTCCCGCCAGGCGTACCAACAACGGTTCCTTGGCTGCTCTTGCCGTACTTCCTGCACAGTGTGCCAGAAACTGTGCGCCGGGGTTGATGGGTGGTCTTCTTTAAGCCTCAACAACTCCAAGAGGTAGGTGCCGGCACCACCCCTGCTTTACCAGGGAGGAAACTCGGGGAGGAGGGAGCATGCTCAAGTTAACAGAGGAGATGGCGGAGTCCGGAATCGAACCTGGTACCCTGACTCCACAACCTCCTGTGCCCCAAGGACGGTATCTGTCCACCGTGAAGCTGGAAAGGCGCTGTCGGCAGCGGTGACATCATCTGCCGCTGGCCACTCAGCCCCAAGTGGCCACGGCCCGTGAGCAAGTGACAGTGAAATGTGCCTCCGTGTGACTGAGGCACCCTAACTCCCATCTCAGTGGCCAGCGGCCACCTGGGGTAAACCGTCTGACAAGTAGCCCTGGGAAGGTGGCCATGGCGAGGCCACAGAGGCAAACATTTGGAGGGTTAGCACATGCTAACCTTGGCAGTGTCTCCCCTCACTTGATGCTCACACACAAGGGCCCCCGGGAGGTGGACACTGGTCCGGACCCATCTCAGGGACAGAAGGTGCAGTGCGCTCTCCAGCCTGGCTCTCCCAGGCACACCACAAGTACGGCTTTCACAAGCAGCTGCTGTGTTTCCTGTTTCTGCCTCCAGGGGGCAGCTCTAGGGAAAGGCTTTCCCCGCTCTGTGGGCTCTGGGGAAGGTCCTGGTTTCTTTTGAGCATCCGCCCTGAGCGGCCTCCTTGAGGCTGAGCATCTGCCTCCCCCATCGCCGCTTGCTTCATCTGTTGACGATCATGTACCTTGGAAGCGATTGGCAGAACGACCCATCCACTGAGAAGCCTGCCTCAACAATGTAACACAGACAATCCATTTAGAGTTTAGGATGGACTCTCTCTTTTTTTTTTTTTTGGTGTGTGGGGTGGGGCTGTGAGCAGAACACAATCCCAAGCCCTAGCACAGTCTGGAAGGAGCAGCTTTGGAGCGTTGTCCCCAAGTCTGCGTGCTTCTTCCGCCACTGCATCTTGGGAGAAACTCATGTGTTCTGGCATGAGCCTTCCCCCCACCCCCACCCCCCACCAGCACGCTCCCCCTCCCCTGCTCCCAGCCAGCCCCATGTCCAAGCACATTGGGGCCTCCCCAGTTTTGCATGTGCACACCCCCCTTGCCCCAGTGGGGAGGCTATGATCCAAGGGATCAGTGCCCAGCCAGGCACGCTCACAAAGGGCACCCCTGGGTGGTGCGAACAATGCGCCTGACCGCTAACCCGAGGTCGGTGGTTCGAATCCACCCAGAGGCAACCCAGAAGAAAGGCCTGATCATCTGCTTCTGAAAAACCTGCCCTGGAACACCCCATGGAGCACAGGTCTGCACGTGCACCGGCCTCTGCGGCGAGTGTAGACAGGAAGCCTGTCCAGGGGCTGTCCTCGGGTCAGCAGCACCATCATGTGCAGCCCTGGGGAAATGGGGGTGTGTGGAGGCATGCACGGGGCAGGAGAGAACTTGAAGTCCAGGTAGTTTGTCCTCCATAGTATCCCCCGTTCCCTGGCATGTGCTGCTGCCAGGAGTGTCCTTCCCTCCAGCCAGCTCCACAGCTGACTAGGAGCCCCTTGTGCCATGGCTGTGAGCAGCCTGAGACCCTCCCCCCAGCTCTCAGTCGAGCTCCACCCACAACTAGAAGCAGGGAGGCTCCCCTGGAGGGCCTGGGAGCTGGTGGCCTGCTTATTCCACGCTCCAGCGCCCTCTCATGGTCCTTCACTCAGCCCCTGGGAGCTGGGGGTCCCATGAGTTGTGGCTAAAAGACTTACAGAGTTCCCGGGTCCGGGGTACCTGCTGTGGGCCAGTGTGAGGTGGCTGGGCACCCATCCTGGCCCTGTTGGCTGGAACAATGGTGGTCCCAGCTGTGAGGCCCCCAGCTCCCAGGCTGTGCTTCTGTCCCGGGCCCCCTACCGGGACAGACAGACAGAGAGAGCTGGAGCGCTGGGGAGAATGAGCCCTGTGGACCTGCTCTGGAGCCAACTAAGCAGGGCCAGGTGGGCGCCGCGTCCAGTCTGTGCCAGTCCCCACGCCTGCCTCAGCTGGCCTTGCTTCCCCGAGCCCACTCTGGGGCGGGTGGTGGTGGTGCCAGAGCAGACCGGGACACCGCTGAGGCTGGCGATGGGCCACAACCAGAGGCACTGGTGACCTTGAGGGTCCAGGACAAAGATGGCATCAAATGGGAGCAGGTGGGGCCATGCTCTGCTTCTGCTTCCAGTGCCCCACCTCCTCTTCCTCTTCCTCCCTCTGGCTGCATGCCCACGGCCCTGCTCCCTCTGCCCCTAGCCCCTCTCACCAGTGCATTTGCAAGCCCCTCTTCCCTGCTCTCCAACTTCCTGCTCCTCTTTACCACTGACCTGGTTTTGTTTGCAGCTCTGTAACCCTCCCCCCACCCCATCCTCATTCTGGAAGGAGGGGCTGGGCATGCGGCGAGGCGATCCAGTGTCCTGGATGTGGGGTCCTTGACCATCACCTGTCCAGAGTCCAGGAACCCCCATGCCCATGCGGGGCAGTCCGAGATCACCCCTTTTTTCCTCAAGGTCCTGGTCTGGACACGCCTGCATTATCATCATCCCCACCCACCCCAGCCCGCAGTGTCCGCCGCTGCCACTTGGACACCCCAAAGCTGGGCATGTTGGGACTTCCAGGCACTTTGCAGTTGCTAACTGGACACGTTCTTTTCTTTCAGGACAGATCACTGCGGCCAGAGGAGATCGAAGGTAAGAGGAGATCGAGGGTAAAAAAATGGGCCCAAGGGTCAAGGTCGGCTCAGGCCTGGGGAAGGGAGGCAGATGGGAGAGAGACAGAGGCCTCCTGGGAAAAGGGCCCCTGGGGCTGAGCCCCTGGGTGAGTGAGCAGGCCCAGCACCCCACCCCGTCAGGGGGGGGCATGGACTGCGTTTGCCCAAGAGGTCCCACTCCCACCCATGCCGCCCATGTTCCTCCCCCCAGAGCTCCGAGAGGCCTTCCGAGAGTTTGACAAGGACAAGGACGGCTACATCAACTGCCGGGACCTGGGGAACTGCATGCGCACCATGGGCTACATGCCCACGGAGATGGAGCTCATCGAGCTGTCCCAGCAGATCAACATGAACCGTGAGCCCCACCAGGCTGCCACCCTCTCTGAGCCTCACTGCCCTCTCCTGGGAAAGTGGGGGCATGGTCGGGGTAGTCATCTAGGTGAAGCAGCCCAGGGCCTGGCACCCAGGAAGAGCTGGTTAGATGGGTGCCTTCTCTGTCTTGGGTGAGTTCCCCCATAAGCCAGCCCGCTCTGTGACTGATGGAGGAGAGAGAGCACCTTGCCTCCAACTGGCTCGAGGTGGGGGTGGCTGCAGCTGAACCTGCTTGGGGAGCTTGGGGAGTTCGTATCAAGCACTCACCCAGAGACCCCGCCAGGCCCACCTCTCCTGTGATGTATGCACCCAGATCCTGGTAGAGGCCGGTGAGCAGGTGGTGGGTGTTAGTGCTCCAGCACTTTTTCCAGGAGCCGAGCTTCCACGTGTACAGTGCTGCAGCCAGGAGGCCATGGTTTTCTGTGTGTGTGTGTGTGTTGTGTGTGTGTTTCCCTCTCTATCTGAAAAGCATTGCCTGCCTGTGACCCAAACACACCCTTCTCCTAACCATGTCTACTTCTGCCCACTTCCTGACCTGCTCCCTTATTCACCCCCAGGTCCCTCCGCTGAGTGGCCTTAGCAAACTACCTGTGTCTGGGTCACCTTTCTGGCCTTATGGGCCTTTGGTGATGGTCTGAGCCTGGCAGCTGAGCAGGTCAAGGTGGCGGTGGCGGTTCCCTCAGTTGCCTAGTTGGAGATAGGAAATGGGCAGGTGGGTGACCTAGCCCTTTCCTCTGTCCCCAGTGGGTGGCCACGTGGATTTTGATGACTTTGTGGAGCTAATGGGACCGAAGCTCCTGGCAGAGACCGCAGATATGATCGGAGTAAAAGAACTGCGAGATGCTTTCCGAGAGGCAAGTGGTGGGCAATGACAGCCGGGGGTGG